GGGAAAAGGGGAAGCTTACCTCAGGAGACGACATACTGCCAACTATTACACCAAACCTAGAAAGAGAAGGATATACAATCGGATAAGCAGGCCCCAGACTTGCACTATAATCGTTGAGAAAACATGTTTACTACGTAAAAAATCACAAATCTGGACAAACTAGCACAAGATGTTGAAAATTAGCAAGGCATATACACAGTTACGTCCGCATGTCATCAGTCGATGATACTTTCTTAATACAGATGAAACAGGAACACATTGTTAGAAATATTTGACCGCAGGATGTTAAAGGCATGTTTCAGTAAATCAAGGTCTCACTGTCGCGGTTTACTGTTAACATAAGATACCATTAGGCAGGGTAGCTCCAATGATTGTGAGAGATAGCTAAATTAATCCGACTTAATATAATGCGCCGTGAAAGGGCACCACAAGACAGAAAAATTGAATCACCTGAGAGATAACTAACTTACTTAAATAGAAGCAAGTATTTTGACTTACACGAATAAAGACTAGCATGTGATTGGTAAATAAAACCTACACTGTTGTGCTAGTCTTCCTCGCACTAGAGCTCAGGTATTAAAATCTGTGCTTTAAAAATTTAATTAAAGCGCAGACATATTGGACCAGGTGACCTCAGCCAATCCTCTGTCACACACAATAGATAAAAGCAATTATTGAATTTAACTCCCCATCAAAAGTTTATTCTGATTATGATCTACGTTTTCTGCTAACTGATTGTGTAGACTGCTAATTAATTAGCAATTTAGGTTCTGTGTGTTTCTTGGTTGTTTACCTTGCTATCTAATTCAGAATCAGCCGAAAGATATACATTATTTAACGAGGGGTTCAGGCGATATTGTAAACACGGATGAAACGTTCCTAGTACATGATTGTGTCGTGCGGTTGGTCGCTCAGTAATGCTTTGTAGTGCTTGACCTTTTTGTAATAGGAATCAGTTGATTAAAGAATAAGCTGAAACATGCGAGGTCCAATATGCCTGCGCCCTTATTCGCCCTCCGACTTTTCTGTTGACAGCTATTTCATTCAATTAGACTTATGCTTACTTCAAATGTTCATTCGATTTGCGATTTTTGTACTGATATGTAACCATAATGTGTTTCTAAGAGTGAAAGGAAGCCCCTTTGAGAATAATGCTTGATTTGTTGAATAAATATATGAAAATGAGATCCTCTAGAAATGTTTACAATGAATTTGTGATAGAGTGCCTAAAAATTGGCTTGTGTAGGCCAGCGGTAGTGGTCCTTACATAGTCTAGTATTGATATAAATGTATTGACCGCATTGTGGTGGTTTTAATATGTGTGAATTGCACGCACCATTGTTAAGTACAGCTCATGTAGACTTTATATCATTTTTTTCAGAAGTTGATCTTCTCATCAAAGTTACTATTTGGTTTCAATACTCATTGCGGAGTCTTCTAATCGATTTTTTTTGTTTTTGAGTGCTTTATATGCCCTCAATAGAATTGATCCATTGTATCACTTTGCTCTCTAGATGTCATATTTTCATTTGAATCCTAAAAGTAAATTTAAATGCATAACTGTCCCCATACACTCTTTACTAATTTTTTTATTAGTTAGCACTTGCATTTATTAATGGCTTTTATTTTTTCCACTACTCATAAACCTAGGTTTTCAACGTTGCAACGTCAACACTCGTTAGTTTAGCCTGCGTCGACAAACACACAGGAAACTTTTAGCTAGACATGTGCCTAATCTTCTGATGCAAGGATACCCTCGGTACTCAGTTTAGCACCCTACATACGCCCAACAAGGAGCCTTGTGTTTCACTAGATTTAAGCGCGAGGCCTATAATGCAGTTACGAATACAGTGCCATAATTGCTTTATGTTGTAGTCTACCGGAAGGACTTGCACAGACTAAGAAACGCCTTAAGATGCTCATGTGGTTTTCATCCTGTTTAGGCATGTCATGGAAAGCGGAGTGCTAACGGCAACAGAATACAACGCATCTGTTCGCCAATTTCACGAAGCCATCCAAAGAGAATACACCGCGGACGTGTGGAAAATCGAGTCAGTTGGCAACTCACCAACACTCGAGCTTGTCTGCTACACCAGTCGCGGGGGGACATCCACCGCGTCCTCCCCCGCGCGTCTTGAATACCGGACTGTCTACAACGACGCGTACGCGGTTCCCGTCCTCCTTTTTCGAGGTTCCTTTCACGACGGTAGTCAAGTGCCCATTTCCTACTTTTGGCAGTGCTTCTCCAAACGAGCTGACCGACAGAACCAGGCTCAGCAGGAAATGTGGTCGGTCGTAAGCCAGACAGAGCACAGGCCCTCCGGGGTGCCGTACTTCATGTTGCACCCCTGCAGGACGCGTGAACTCATGACCACTGTCAACCCCCCTGACGTCCTTTCCTACATCAAATTTTGGTTATCGTTTATTGCTCGGTATTTTGACATCTACGTGCCTCCCTCAATCACTACTTAAATGCTATTTAACCATTTTTTGACTAAGGCTTGGAGCCGTAGACATATCCAAACCACAAACGACAGAAGATATAGAATTTAAAAAAAGAAAGGATGCAGTATGAATCCATGAAAAAACGATATTTACAATGCGCAATTCACGGGGGTGTCCTACTTTCTGGGAACCTTCTTTGGTCGGCGGCCCATACCGTAGTTAATGGGGGTGTCATCGGTGAGAGACACTATATTTAATCCCGACAGCGTCATACCCGAAAGAGTTGACTAAACAGGGGGTAATATTTTTGCAAAACCACACATTACCACTCTGTTTGAGCCGATACCACGGAATTTGACGCGAACATCCTTGATCCCCATTTTCTGGGCCTTCAATCCGATCGAGATGCCGACGGTTTGAGCAGCTACTGTTGTCTGCTTGCGGGCATTTCGAAATCCTTCAATACCGCAACTGGTGTCACACAAATTTCGTCCGTTGCAGTCAGTGAGGGAAATCTTTGTGTTGTTTCTACTTGCTGTTATGTGCACAATAGGCAGCTCGTGATAAGCGCGGTCGGCGAACATGGTGTGAAGACCGGCTTCATCTAAAATTTGATGACCGAGTCTGAAAAAATAATCAATTGAGTGTAGCTTACACAGATATCGGCCGTTTTTCGTCTTTCGATTCAAGATTTGTACCGACATCCGATCCAGCGACGGTTGAAGAAGTGTCCGTCGACTCGAAAACCCTCAGGAGGTTTTGGAACACTCGCGTGTTCCTCTAAAAGATTTGAGAACATGCGAACACACAGCACAAGTATTTCGAACATTCAGAGTTTCGGATATCAACGCGGGATCGACGAAATACGTGTCCGGATCGCCGCTCAAATATCGCTTCAATCTCATCATCATGCACCATCAATAATCCGGTTTATCTAGCTCCATATGCAATTTAATGAACTAGGATCAAAGAAACAATAACTGCCATAATGATGTAATAAGCAACACAAGGTGAATGCAAAGGCCGTGGCTCGAAGATTTCGGTACAACTGCCTTGACAAAACACCACAACCCCAATTAAACACCAAACATGCTAAGAAACACTTTAGTGAAGGATCCAGTAACTAATGAATGCATCTTTTAATATTCAGAAACTTCAGTGTGTCACCGCACATACTTAAAATATTGTGTAAAGACTTTGAAAGTTTACGTGAAATGTGTGTTCCAAAAGTACACATATTTCTGTTATGCTCTAAAACAAATAATTTTAAGTCATGTTGTCTAGGAAATCGACATGTCGTTATCGATAAAAAAAGAGAAGTTGATTACACCGAAGGTAGCATCAATTTAAATTTGATTCTACGCCTAATGCTTCTTCTAATCTGAAAGCTTAAAACACTTTGACTGCTTAAATGAGCGAAGTAAAACGATGGCACACACGCTATAAATGAAGACCTCAAAATATCTACAGAGAGAAATATTCACCTTGACGAAATTAAGACCTCGCGAAGCATACAAATTCATTGAGGCTCAAAGATGATACGAAGAACATAACAAACTAAAACAACAGCTTTAAGATTCGAGGTGAGTGGCTTCTGTTGAAGCAATTAGTGACATAAGAATTAAATGTAACGCTGTAACTTTGCAGCAAGTTTCGTCAAATTTAAATATAAATATTACTGTATGCATTTACACTTCTATAATTAAGAGAAATTTAAATCTTAATCTCGTGAATCGTTTATTCGCTATTCTAAAAGCGGGAAATTATTTTTACTTAATGATCATTTTTTTATGTAGAATTTTTAAGAGAGCACTAGGTGCTAGGCCAATCTGCAATATGTTTCCTCATTCTTTCATCTACACAGAAACATCTAAAATGTCCACTAAACGCATAAAGTTATCCGTAATTTTGCCATGATAAAATTTAATTATCCAAAAATATTTCCAAAGGTTTTTTTGTCAAGGTGCTTAAATTATAGATTTGTTAAATTCTTTTGCAAAATCATTGATATCCGAGCAGTGGTCATCCCTTTCGAAAAAGTAAAATGAAATGATCTTCAAGACAAAATAATCTGCAATGTTAAGGTTTTAAGTAGAAATTGATTTCATAATCGTCTTACCACGATTATCTGAACATTAAAGCAAAGCATTTCCGCATCAATTTCAGTAAATTAAGTAGAACAACCTGTCATAAATTCTCCTGCCCTTTTCTCAGTACATGAAACTGAATATTTCACTGACAATTGCTTAACATCTGCCATTATTCTGCCTGTCATTTCGTAGTAAAATATCTAACTTGTCTATAATCACGGCACCGAGTTTTCTTCATTCAGACATTCTGCCGTATCAGCTAACACGAAAAGTAGTTTTTTCGTAAAGCCGCAATGATTTTTAACCCAAGTCGACCCTACGCCCCGGCTTTCACTTGAAATTTGAGCAAATGTGGATTTTTTATGTAGATAAGCGGTACACCAGATTACTATATTTTAGAAAAGGGACCTTTTTTGTGCAAGCTGTTAGACGTGCAGTGTTCCAGGCTAATTTTCGAATTTTTTAAAAAAAAAGTTTATTAGTATTCGAGTTTAGTGGGATGCTCTAAGAGCATTTTCCTTCCTGTGTCTACATGCCACAAACGAGTATTTATCACATTTAACCATTTACGCAATAGTACGATGAAACAGTCAGGTCCAGTTCCTTGAATTTACTAAGAGGAAGAATTTAAGTTTATAATCCAGCTAGCAGTTGTTAAATCCTGACGAGATGAACATAAATACTAAAATTTAAGTATACCCCCAAAATGACGCACAAATCCAATGATCCCACTGAGCCAGGTTGCCATTTACCTGTGAATGAATGTTGGGAGTGCATTTACAAAACGTATGCCATGCAATTAAACTCACTGTACAATCACTACTCTGGTGACACGAGCGGTCAATTTCGTCAGTTAGAAAGCAATGAAACTTTGAAAAAAAAAAGAAAAAAAAATAGATAAAAGCCTAGCGTCCGCTATCTAGTTCCTCGAAAAGGTACGTTGCACAAGATGATGCGAAAATGCAATGCGCCACAAGACAACAAGTAGGGAAAGAGGATGAGGAGGAGGATGCGGGTTCTACTCTAATCGCTGGTTGCGAACACAGCGCTGGCGTTGCCCACGCCTCCGGCAACCCGGTGTTTCTTTGATTGTTTCTTTCGAGTGCTGGCAAAGAGCTCGCGGTAGATGTCAGAGCGCAGAAAGCGACAGTACGAGTCCGACTTCATGAGCTGGAATATCTGCTCCTCAGCTTCCTCGAAGCAGTATCGATCGATGTGCGAGGCCCCCGCACCAACGACTTTAGCCGGAAGGCTGTTCTCCCCGGTGATGGCGGCAGTGGCGGGATCTCCCTGACTCATCGCCGCTTCCTCCTGGTTCAACAACAGACCCAGACGACGAAATACGGCTTCACGAACCTTGCTATCGACGTTAACAGGCTCCGGCGCTGTCAAGGAGAGGTACTGCGAGTAAATGAATTGTATCCGGCTTGGCAGCTCACGCAAAGGCGCGCTCTTCAAATCCTTCAAGGCAAAATAGGCAACAACAAATCAATTTGAATACGAATTGTGCGCGAGCTACACATTACACTAAGTGGTTCTCTAAAGGTTATGTAGTCCTGTGGTTGGAAGCTCGATTTACCTGGCACTCCTGCCAGAACATGAGATTTTCTGCAGCGAATTCCTTCTCCAACCATCGTTGAAACCGAGCACGACCAAAGGGGTCTTTGAGGAGCTCGTGGAAAGAGAAGGACCACCGTTTCACTCGTGGGATCGATAACTCCCCCACCTGGGCTCCACACGCATTGCCAACACCCCCTCCACCAGCTCCGCCGAAGGCCAGAGCAGAGCCCCAGTAGTTTTCGGCCGCGGCCGCGTTGTCGGAGATCCAGGGATTGCTCTGGCCAAACCAATCCAACTGAGCCTCACCTCGATGCGAAAACAAGGAAAAAACAACAGTGAAGGACCACCACAATTCAATCAACACCGTGTACACAAGAGGGGGAGAGAGAGAATGGGGTTCAAACGCAGCGTAAAGCAACTAACCGGTGGACAGCGAAGGTGGATTAGGACCAAGAGCGAGATTGACAACGGCGCTGTGTGCGGAGCTGAAGCCAGCGCTGGTTTTTCTGGGGAGCAGGAGATGAGGCACGGTCGTAGCCCCCGCACCCGGTCCGCCGCCTGCGGGCACCGACGCCCCCTTTGCTGAGCCACTCCCAGCGCCAATACCACCACCGCCGCCGCCACCACCACCGACGCCACCGCCACCGACATCGACGCCGGACAGTCCTGGAGTTACGCTGGTCATGGCGCAGCAGAGGAGGCTATCGAAGTCGAAGTACTGGTCACAGTAATTCTACAAATGACGGATGACTCACACTGGACGCAAAATGCTAGAAGCAACATATCGCGTTTGCGTCCAACAGAGAGGTATGTGAGGGCTATGGTGTCCACTACTAAACGGAAGGGGCGTGTCAACCACTTTGGCCGAACAATTGGAGTTGACGGTGTCCATAACTGATTCAAGCCGTGGAAATGCAAGCGTGTGAGTTATTTGGGCTCAGTATTTTGCAAAATGTATCTCAAAAAAAGCAAAGTGCCATAGTATTAGTTACCAGTACTAGCCACATCAAAAGATACTGAATTCCGGTAGAAATCACATGCAGACGATGTGTTGGGATCACGAATGTTGTCAACACCAAGTGCACATGGAGTCGGTAGCAATTAAAACAAACTAGAATTAGTAAATTACAAAGAAATCGCCTTCTACGAAGACCTCACGCACACTTCTGGTTAAGGAGAAACGTGGCATATTCCAGGTGTATAGACCTGATCTGGTGCCGAATTCGTCTGGATCAAGGACCCCTACCACATGATGGAAAGGAGCAACCAATCGGATCGCAGGTTCAAGGTGAGAACGAGTAACACCCTTACTTGATGAAACGACGCGTGTTCACGAACTTCAGTTTGAGTCCTACATTAGGGACCTCAACAAACAGCACACGTAGGGGATGGAAACACCCTCACCTGTAATGTTTCGATGGCCTTCGACGCCTTGATGCGTTTGTGCGTGGAGGCGCGGAGTTTAGTGAGTCGCTCGGCGGGGGAGAGCCCCTCGAGGACGGAGAAGAGGAGGGCGCCAGCGGGTCCGGCGGCGACGGGGATGGGGAATGCCACGGGATAGAGTCGACCGGCACACAGTCCCGTCTTCTTGGGCCGCTTGGCGCGACAGAGCTTACGCATATCCACCTCTGTGGTGTTCACACAGCCTGGCGCAGGTCTGTGAACATCCCAGAACGCTGCCTCCTGCGACTCTAGAACCACACGCTCCGACTTGTCGCGTTTCCTGTCCACCTTCATCTCCGCCTCGGCCTGAGTGGAAAGCGGCCTTTTAGAGGCGCGTGGGTGGCGCCAAATGCAAGCGCAGGCCTAGAAATTACATTACCTGCATGTAAATAAACTCCCACTTGTGGTAGTATAGGCTCTGTAGACTGGCCAAGCGCTCTGCCTCAAAGTCGGCAAGTTCAAGACGATGCTTGTTCTGCATAGTGCGCTTGCACAGGTACACCGCGTAGTCAACGGTGTCGGCTTCGGGAGAGCGCGAAGGGTAGAGACAGGGCGTCTGGAAGCGGTAATACGTGTGGCCGTCGTTCTTAACGGCCATAGTGTGGTCGTCTATGGGGAAGAGGTAGCCCATTGCGGAAATACGACTCGCCAGGTGCACAGCCTCGGACACATCATCTGCACCAGCATGGACCATAAACCACAGGACTACATCACTGCCTATAAAGTCAGTAAAAATGAGACTAGTAGGCATTCTGTAAGTTGAGACTACAAGTGGATTTTTGCCTCTGCAGAAACAACATTATTCCATAACGAGATTCTACAGGTACTTGGAAAGTCTGATTCGTAGAAACATACTTAATAAGTCTGTAAAAACCTGAACTACAACACAAATATTTCGCGTTTTAGCTAAAAAAATCTATAAAAAAAATCGGAGAGGTGGCTCTGCTGCAACAAAAAGGAAAAAAGAACGATACGGTTGGGCACTATAAAAGACAAAAAAACAGGAACTGCATGATCACTAATGCCACGAAAATTGGTAGGTATGTGAGGGACATGGAAGTGGAAGATAAACAATAATGAGTTACCTGAAAAAACACTAGGTATCACAGACATAAAGTTTTTGACATTTCGGATGGGGATTCCCTGGCTCTCAGAAACCATGCACTCAACAAGCGACTCAAGACGGCGCCAAAGGTACTCATTTGGAAAATCTCGAACTTCTAAGCGTAAAGAATTCGAAACAAGGCTTACCAAGCATTTTTATCAAAAACTGAAGAGGATATCGCAGCACTAGTTAACTGCTAACTACGTTTATTAATATTCAGCAAATATTGTCGCGAAAAAATAGGACATGAAAGATTGGTGGGTCTGTGAGATGAAATAATTGCGTTGGCTGTGAGTTATAACAATGAAGAGATTTGAACTAATGTTGATGCATCAGAACGCCGGACATCTGTGTAGTGGATCGGCGTTTTAAGGCGCAGACATATTGGGCAACGTTTGCCTCAGCCAATCCCTTATCTCTTTGCCATCGAATGGCATGGAGGAGATATGCAGCCAACCAGCCAGCCACAAATGAGGAGCAGCATATAACGAGCAGCGTAGCAAGTGAGGTGAACTCGGATAGACAGCGCCTGACGCGTGATTCTGGCTTGTAATTGGTCAATAAAGCCTGTTCTGTTGTAACAGCCTTCTTCAAACAAGGGCTCGGGTATTCTACCTTGGTGGCAGCGGATGCGTTCGAATAACCCAAATTGAACCCCTCCTATGGAAAACAGAGCCAAAGACCCTTCAATGCCAGCTGAGCTTGTCATAGCGGATCATCCGGTGTTCTATACGCAGATTCCACTGACATTGCCAGTGATTAGGACTGCTGTATCTGAAGAGGCATTGGCAAGTCAGTGACAAGGACAAGGACAGTAGAAGCCAGTTGACTGGAAGTGATGAAGGAACTTGCGACTGATGAAGCGGCCTTCCTGCAAGTCAACAACAGCAAAGTCCCTAGTCAATTATTCGCTTGGGCCACTATCCTGCTAGTATCGAACTGGATATTTTGTCAATCATCAACAGTGTGGGGAACCAAGCCAGAAGTTAAAAATAACTTTATTCCTGAGGAGGAGGCAGTGTAGCGATGCATAATGACGCAGACACATTGGACAAAGCCGGTCTCAGCTAATTCTGTCTCCTTGCGTTAGAATGCCATGAGAGGTAGATGTGCAATCAACCAGAGGCAGACACGTATAAAAAACAGCATGTAATGAGCGGCGTAGCCAGAGCGGTGGACTCGGATGGACCGCGTCTGACGTGTGCTGCTGGCATTTGATTGGTTAAAAAATCCTGTTCTGTTGTAACAATATTCTTCCTATTAGGACTCAGGTATTCTACAGTATCCGGATGGCGAATAGCATCCACTTTGCTGCTCAGTCACTGGTCGAGGGTGAACAGCAAGGCATGATGGCGACGTCGTATGACCGGGGGCGTGATGTCCGGCTGTGTAGCGTCAGGCGAGCATTGAATAACGCACCGGGGACTGAGAGCCAATCCGCTCAAGAGGTTTCTGTCTCTATCCCAGTGACAAAGAACAGATCAAGGGGAGAACAGGACGATCATTACAATTCTGTACAAAGGCCCTGTGTTCTCCATAAGGCTGTAAGATTTTGACTGATTCTAGTCTCTATGGAAGAACTCTACATTGTTTTGCTCTCTTCTTGTTCTTACCATGATACCAATGCGTACATCTGTTTTAAGTTTGAGTTCTGGATGCTAGCATGAGAAATACTGTTAAGAATTTCCTTTCAGAACCATTAATGCACAAAGCCAATGGGTCCTATATTTAGCGGGAACCTTACAAAGTTACTGAAACACTAGCTACTGAACGCCAAGTTAATAAACATCAATTTACACCAATACCTAATTTATTGCGTTGACCAAAGCTGACGACTGTAAAAAAATGAAATGTAAAAGTGCTAAATAATAATCTGAAGGAATTAGTTATATAAATTGATCAAGCATCAAGTGAGAGGGTTGCTGATTATCTTGGAATTAGCCAACATTGGCGAAAAACTAAATAGCTCCTAATAGATTACATGCATTACGCCAGTGATAAAATGAAAATTGGTCCTAATAATGATGATGGATTAAGAGTAGTAGGATTATTTGAATTCCTTTTTTTAATCAACGAATGATTGAGAAATCATAAATCAAATTAAAAGGAGTTTGTGCGTATTTATTATTAGCTTCTGAGTTTCGCTTAATATCGACATAGGAGTTCTTCAGATTGTTTTGTCTGAATGCCGAGTATTCCCTGTACTTTGTTGCCTTTTTTTACCTTTTTATTCACTTTGTGATTTTTCCTACCGCCGTAGGCACTATGAGGTTTTTCCACTATTTTGCACCACTTTCTCCGGTTGAACATAAGCGTTTCATGTCATATTTGAAATCAGCAGTTTGGAAAGGTTGAACAAAAGTTATATTGGCCGAAAAAATAATCATGCTAATTCGCGTCTGGCGGCCGCGTCATTATGTACACTTTAAACACGTGTCGCTCCCACTACTCTCTTAATTTATCGAACCTATTAGCTAACCTTTTACGAATTCACCAGGCACTACTTTTTATGAAGAGTTCCTTGACGCACAAACTTTCTCCAGACATATATGGTCCTCTTAATTCTCCTGGATATCAGTGGAACATAACAGCCAGTGCTATCCAGTGACCCTGGTGCGCTTTGAGACCACATGTCTGAGCGTCCACCAACTGTTCCCTCTTTGGATTGCATCGTTGACTACCTAAAGGCAAATGTAGCGACAGTAATTAAGTATTATACTTACTGATTTTCTGTCGGAAGCCATTATGGGTAGATGACTCTGCGATTGACATCAATCCAAGATCCTGTTTGCTAGAATTATGAATAAAAAGTTAAAACGTTGGTTTTTTTCCATTGAACAAAAAGCGCTTCTAAGCTACAATTATTAAGTAACAACGGGTAGATAATTCAAATCTGATCCACCAATTGCCTACAAAATATACATGTTGTAAATCTGACAATTTTATTCATGAACAGCTCAAGAATGGACTGCTTTGTACGAATAAACAGAGTGGTCCGTGCAGTACCAGACCTAAATTTCCACATATTTCGACGTCCGTTTTTTTGAAAAAAAAATTATGCTAAAATGAAGGCACAAAGAGAGTAAGAATAAAAGCGACATCAAACCTCTCTCTGCGCCAGTGAAAAAACGCCAAATGATCAGCACAGATTGACCAACTTGGATACTACCATCCCTATACTCAGTTTTCATTCTTTAGCGCCACATAACTAACGGTTACGCGAATCAATTCTACAACATCGCAGACGTTATTTACTCAAAAATTCATTAATTATATCTATTCATGCTTTGTTTCTCGATTTTTAAGATATTTTTGCCTGGTAATGGCTCATGAATTATTGAGTCGTTCAAACATGACGTTGTGTGCGAATCTGGCACTACCCCTAAAGGCCTGCTTTCGTAAGATCTTGCGTTTCATCATCACAAACCGCTCCGCACACAGTCATGTGGTGTGTCAGCACATACGCAGTTGGATCGTCGACGCACGCGCTTCAAAAGGACCCCTATCGTACATTAATTATTGAATACACGTGCACTTCGACTTCTTTTTGAAAAAAAATTCCCAAGTTCTGGAGGGAAATCACCTTCAAAATACGCCGTCTTAACTCTTACTTGAAGCTAGCATAAGGGGTTCTCGTGGGGATTACATATCAGCACCAAGTCGGTAAGTTTTAAGAACAACACAGCTTCGATTTTGAATCGAGTTGCCTCAACCAGTCAAGTGAACTCTTCTGGTCACTCATTATTGATTAGTGTGATTACTTTGTACACAATTTAAACAACCCCGCAAAACGCCCTCCTCGGATGACTGTGATTGGCTGGGATCAAGGCCCGCGGTCTATGAATCTGATTTTAATACGGTAGAATATCCGGTTTTCTTCCTCGTGAGCAGTCAGATGTTATTGACTGTCACTTTGTACTTGTCTCGTTTCTGGTCATACAAAACAGTCCGTTGAAATCGTCAACACTACCTTGCACTATAACCTGCTAGAGTTGACATTTTTATGTCAAAACAGCTTTTATTACAGCCTTCTTTTCGTAGATTATCGCATGGAAGTAAAAAGTAATCGTGGAATTGCTATTTCTGTTTAATTCTCAAGGTATTCTGATTCTTAGCCAGGCCTTCAGGATTACCTACAGAACGACCAATAGGCAGTGGCGGTTTAAAACAACACAAGGTCGCGGAAACATTGCACCTTTCGTACATAACTCGGGTTATTGAAACTCAGAGAGTTCTGCTTGAGCGGGCTTTTTTGTTCTCTGCATGCCGTTTGATTTAAAATTTAATTTAAAAAAATTCAATTTACTGACGAGGTTCCGCAAGCCAGCCAGCCAGACTTATTCGTATCATCCAGAATAATTAAATCATTTTACCGTTTGATTGACTTTAATGTATTCACCGACTCTATTGTGTGATGTTTTTTTTCAAATTTGCGGGGTGTGGCGAGCCTAGAAAAAGAGAGATCTAAAGAACTTTCGACGGTGTCTAGAGACGGCGGAGAGTCTAAAGTTTAAATCTCGCGACACTTTAAGCAGTCAGTTTCTTAAGCATTTCTAGCGTTTCCGTGGCTCCGAAACTACGAGCAGCCGACATGGACAGGAAGCAAATCCAGACAGTTTGTTGTGAGAAGCTACTCGCCAATAACAGCAAATGGGTCTACTTTTAATAGCTTAAGACGATCAACTAATCGCAAATTCTGTCGTAGCCATTGATAATTATCGGACAGGCTACCAATTTCCAATCCGTCGTTGGTAGTTTTAGTGAGGATTTAAGAAAGGTGCAAATTGGACTACTGCGAGGTCCTCAAGCATCCCATGCGCACAAAAGCAAGCGCATATATTTGATTTTAAAGAATTTAAACAGGTGTTGATATCTTGAGATTGTAATAAACGGACACAATAACACGGAAAACGCGGAATATTTCCAGTTTACCCAGAACACACTGACACCAGTCGTGCAATGCGCGTACTCTACTCACCTTCTCAAAGTATCTAACGCCAAGGGCCAACCAAGCACCTCTCAACTGTAAAAGATGCTGTAGGCGAAAAGACACGAAGAATGTGAGTTGCCTCATTTGATTATTTGATTGAGGCGACTCACTAGGGTGTGGCAATAAGGGTGTGGTCTCTGCTCCCACACGCGCACGCACGCACGCACGCACGCATTGCATCATCGTAAGACAACGACGACAACGACATGTCATGTGACCCATCACCCCTTGCTCCAGCATCCTTCACCTCCTCCCATCCCATCATTGCACCATCATGCAGCTCCATGTGAAATAGGTATTAACTGCGCACTCGAAAACATGCGAACTCACGATAACGTGAAATACCCGTGAACTCGTATTTTAGTCAACTCAATTCGCTGCAAAAACTAGCATTTTCTTGTTTATATCAGCAGCGACTGATTGGGCATCGATCGATCCATTTTTAGTCTTTTGTTTAAATTCACAATGACTGTTGCGGTATTTATTGATTCACTCCACACGCTAGTTACGCGTAAACGTGCGTAAATTTAAATCGAATGTCAATGAGATTGAGGTAATGAATTAATTTTCTACGTCAAACAACCAGATGCGCGAAAGTACATTCACAAGGATTGAGGCAGTAGCCCACGATTTTGCTTGTATTCTTCGATGCGTGTGTTTGACAAACAAGGGCGACCTTTTCGCTAAGCTGATCAAATTTGGTGAATTTTGTTTTAACCCTCGGACAAAGGCGTGTTCAATCCCGTCGATTGTAGACAAAGACGTCGAAGGAAACGACTTTCTCCCAACTCATCAATGCCAGTCCAATGTCGAACGATGAGATTCCAAGGAATTTATTTTAGTCTAAAAACCAATTCTCTCGTCTCTATGTTCCGAAAGAAAGCTAACCTAAATGCTGAACTTTTCGTTGCTCTTTTTACCGAATTCGTTGTTTTTATTTTTCTGGTTCGGGCTGAGCCTCGTTCACAGTCTATCCCTTCGACGAGCAGTGCCCACGGCACATCACGACACAAGGTGCCCCTTATCCACACACACACACACACTCTCGCCAGTGATGATGAGTAGCCGGTAAAAAGGGGGGTTTGAGGCAGGTATAGCCTGACGCCTGTGCACTTTGGCAAGTTTGATTGCCACACCTATCGGATTCAAGTGGCGGTCACAAAGCCAAAAAGGTGTGCACATATCGGCAGCCAAACAAACCGGCATTTTTTTCGTTGAGATTTCTGTTCTTGAGGCGGATGCAGAGGTTTTGCTGCGCTTGATTACGAATCCTTTCTTGTTCTCAATTTGGTCAGCTAAGCATCAAACAATTATTTATCTTTGCCATTAAGGGAGACGGGCGTGCCGTGTCAGCAGGCACTCGAAAACGAACAACAGCTGGTCTGCACATTTTGGCTCGTGCACCAAAATTTAGTGTTTCAGCTGCGCGCGGTTTAAAATCAATATTTTATCCGCGGTCTTGGTTCAGCGTCATAACGATGCTATCGATTGGTGCCGGTAGTTCGAAGGCACGCAAGCATGCGTAACACGAGGACAGAAATTTCCCGCCTCTTGTTTAAAATTGTGACTCACTAGACGGCTGTCTATTTTTTTACAGAAATGTGACCTTATTAAACAAGAATCATTGTTCTATAGAAAATACTTAGAAATTAGGCTCACTACGCCGTTATACATTGTGGGTTAAAGGTCGTAAATGAGTTTGTTTTGGAGGAACTAGAAGATATCCATCCCCACCTGAAGTTTACTCCGTAAATATATTTTCCAAAAATCCATTTGAAAAGTTGCTGTCGCACTCACAACCGCCTCGAGCACGAACAATTTGGGCATTAACTAGTTGTAAGAACAAATAATCTACCTCGCTAAGGTCACTGATATAATTCTGAATTTTTTTAAATTAATGTCGGTGCCGAGGTTTGCGTAATTTCCCCTGGACCTGACAAGCCCCACCGCATCGACTTTGGTCTGGAAATCGTAGCCTCCAAACCCCACACATTGCGGCTTAGGGTCACAAGATGCCAACGTTAAATTTGGGACCAAAACAAGAGTTTTCAATCAATTGTAAAGTAACCGGTGTTGAGCAACCAATGAATGGTCTTTTAATTGACGCCGGACAGGGCAAGCTCATTGACAAATGCACCGCCTCTTTCGTGTTTGCTAAAATCGTCAAGGTGCGCCAGACGCCCTTAGAACCCAGCCAGGTAGTCGAACAATTTGTCATGACGAAGACCCTCCATCAACTGCTGAGGCCGGACGTCTTGGTTTCGTTCTCACCCGGACAGCCAAGAAAGAGCTTAAGCACATGTCCCGCTTCGGCATAATTTGCTGTTCTAACAGCCTCCGGGCGGCTTCTTTACATGTGATGCCCAAGAAATCTGGAGACTGGACACCCGAAGGCGATTACAGAACCCTCAATAATGTCACAGTTCCCAACCAGTACCCCACTCTTCATCGACGGACATCTCCTGCATCTACAGACAGATTTTATTCGTCTCGACTCCAGTTGCATTACGCTAAGCCTTGAAATGCTTTCTGGGTTAAATAGTGTTAATTTTCCCGGACACCACATCGATTCACCCGGTATCAAGGCCCTAGTTGAGAGTGTTCCATGTCAGAATCGCCCCTCAACTTGAGCCGTTTTCCTGATTTGTTACCTCCATATGCCACTGAAATTTCGTCTCCCTTATGGCAAACTTGTGCAACAGAACGATAGCAGCTACACTAGTACTGCGAACGGATGCTCCTCAAACTGCTGTTGGGGCAGTCCCACAGCAAGAGCTGGACGGTTGTACTGAGCCGTAATCGTCCCTCTTCAGATAGCTTCTACCGACTCAGACCCATTTCAACACATTCTCAGGGGGACTTATTAGCGGTTTACCTTGCCGTGAAACTATGCCCTCACCTACTGAAGAACCTGAGTTCAGCAGTTTCACCAACCACAAGCTCTTGATCGATACTTCCCATACGAATCTAGCTACCTTGACTACTTTTTGCAATCTCTCACCAGTATCTGCCACGTTGATGGGATTGACAACCTCGTGATGGATGCATCTTCACAATCACATCTTCATCAGTTTTTTCAGTTCCTGGTTCCGATTGGGGACAGTTGGCAGACTTCTGGCAAACTCGTCAAAATGCTAGTCTAAACCTGGAAGAATTGCCACTCCGTTATCGCTAGAAGAAAATCACGTGCGATTTGTGAACTAGCAGAACCTCAATCCCAGGTTCCTGCCTAATTTAATAGGCAAATACCTGAGCATCTACCGTGGTTTTCACATTCGTACGTTTTGCGATACTGTGACCTTGATAACAAACCGCTTTGATTGGTCCATCTTTCACAAAGATGTCCGTTTTCTAGATTAACATCTGTGTTCAATTTTCACCGGCAAAATATGTCTACACCAAGACATCTCCCCTTCTCAGGCGTGAATTTCCCACATGTTGAAATTCTTGCTTCGACGAGGTCAAAATTACGCAGGAATATTTGAATACCCAAAAAACTTGATCGTGATTCCGACAGCTGTGCTTAAAATGTGCATGGCGCAGCTAAATCTGTTTTATTGATTTATTTCCCACTGCGTCACGTGAGTCAATGACGTCACCGCAGATTCCAGTACACCGGTCCCGTTTTCTGTCAGGCCCACGTGGTGACCGTCTTTTCACACCCCTGCGCATGTACCTCCACCGCCTACCCGCTTCAGTCATGTGACCATTTAGTACGTCAACTGGTTCATCCTCATCGTGTAGGCCAGCAGCCGCATTTGTCGTTGTGTAGAACTTTATTGCTTGAACAAATTTCGATTGTGGTTGAGAAACTGTTTCCGTCGAGTGAAATGTTTCTTATTGACTTATGGGTAGTTGTAGTCATTTTCTATTTTTGAAAAAAAGGAGTTATTTATAAATACCAATTGAGTTCTGGATTGGTGTCATTTTGCACGACCCCGGCACTGCCTTGAAACAGTGACATTTGATTGGACAGGACTGTGGACATGGCATTTCTAATGCTGTGATTTTGGCGTAGATCAGCTTGAAATTGGCGTAGCCGATTGGTTGTAAAGACGACCTGGATAAATGGTGTTGATGGATGATGACTCCAAATTCCTGAGGTTATACCAAGCAGATGCTCCATGTATCATAGAAATTACTTTGGGTGAAAATCGATAAGGTGGTTGCAGGAGCCGATTGTCTTATCAACAAGAAATTATCCAGTGGACACAAGATGCAAATGAGTACAATCGCACGAAGGTAGAGGGGAGTGATTGCGTATCTAGACAGTGGATCTTACCGACACAATGTTTGATCTACAACAACTGACAAGCTTCGGGCTTGTTTGGACACTTGACAGCGCAACTACCACGACCATCTCGAATTCAAACGCTTGAAACACACCCCAAACCAGCCAGTTCGCACCTGGGACTCTATAAGTCGTGGACTTGATGAATTGACTCGGTGATTACGCGGCATTCGAGGTTAACTAACCCCCAGTTCACCCCGTAATTCAGCAGAGACAGATGTATCAAAGAATGAATTTATTGATCGATTAAAAAGTAGAAAATAGTCCAGAGAATAGGAGTGGTAATAATGTGTCGCCTCATGCTTCTTTCTCAGGCAAAGAATGCCCAAATGAACACGGTGATTACCATGACAGTGCAGGCCGCAGTGTTAACTATGATCCTGTCTCGTGGGTTCTCCTCGATACTCATCTCCTTCTTCTTCGCCTCAATCAACTCCTCGGCCTCTTCCTCGGTGAACACAGGCTCCCGCTGGTCTTGCATCGTCTCAACACCGCAGAACCAGTTGATGGTCTTCTTCCACCATGGCAGAACCGGTTTGTTGGCCTCACCCTCAGCTACCCACTGCTCCTTCTCCTCCTCACTCACAATCTTCACTTTCGGTGCATCGACCTCCGGATCGAAGGGTTCATGGCGATCCTTGAAGACCAGTCGCCGTGTCTGTGGGGGACAGAAGCAAGCCATCAAAATACACAAATTATCTCCGGGAGGCATGCGAGAAGAGGACAAGGGCGCTTAGTGACAAGTTACTCACGTATTTTGGTGGTAGTGGAGGTGTGAGGAGTGTGGCAACCACGATAATGACACAGGAGATGCCAAAGAGGAGAATGGAAAAGTGGAGGTAGTGCATTTGGACAAGGAAATGGGGTGGATTAGCTTGGACTTCACCACAGGGTGAGGCACCGTAGGAGATCTCCCAAGCGAATCGTGTAGCACCAATTAGGAGACCGATTATGAGAGCGCAAAACGCACCCTGCGAATAAACAAAACCCACGTAAGTGTACCAAAATTAAGGGCATTTAATTAGGACGCCTAGGCAACTTACAATTTCATTGCATCGTGGCCAGAATATTGCGAAGACGTAGGTAGCGCAAATTGGCGGTGCCAGATAACCAGTCACAGATTGAATGTAGTCGAACAGAGCATCACTGAGCTGAACGATAGGAATCCATGCCAGGCTAATACCGACCAAAATGACGACGACAATACTGGAAGTAAGAACAAATTAAAATATTACGATATGGAGCAAAAGAGCATGGTGGAGTAGCGAAAAAATGCCGACTCACCGACCGACAATCATGAGTTCGGAGTCTTTGCAGCGTGGTCGAATTAATCTCCAAATGTCAACAGTGAAAATGGTCGACGAGGAATTGAATATACTAGTCAAACTAGAAACCAATGACGCCATCATCACAGAAAGCATCAATCCACGCGCTCCAGAAGGCAACAGATTCAGCACAAGAGATGGGTACGCGATGTCTGTGCATCCTGCCACTTTACCACAGATTTGAGCGCAAAGCTGTGCATCGCCACATCCCACCGTGTCTAGTAAAAATAAAAATGGCTACGTAATGCTCGTGTTTTCACTCAAGATGAGGCATGACGTTAGAAATAGTGACTCACCAGCGAAGAGAACTCGTGCGACCATTCCAGGCATGATCATGATCCACAATGGAGTCAATTTTATCATCATGGCAAGAACAATGCCAGCTTTAGCGTGAATCATGTTCTTAGCAGCAAGACAACGCTGAACAATGACCTGATCGGTGCACCAATACCAAGTGGCATTTACAGTAAGACCAAACATGGCGCCAGTCCAAGGCAGATCGGTACTTTGGATTGATTTAAAGAAGTTCAGTGCATCGCTCGGGGGAAGCATGCATTCGGCATAAATACCAGTGCCTTGATTAGCTGGATCTGCTTGAGCAAGAACCAAAGATCGATCGCCAGCGGTTCCATATAGGTCAGGATTATAAGAACTGAGGTTTACAGTGGGTTTAAAAGATGTGCTTTGGTAGGCGCGGGTTGTGTTGGGAATGGCGTTGAAGTAGTTCACAACCAAGTTGTCAAATCCACCAGTAACTTGGAAACCTAGATCAAAATAAACGATAACTTGCCATTACACAAAGTTATATTCGGTTTTAATGCTATCTGAAGTATTTAAATGCTGAACAACGCACCTCTTATGGACAGGTATAAGGCACCACAAAGCATGATGACAACTTGGGCGAAATCTGTCCAAATGACAGCGGTCAGACCACCTGCAAACGCATTATATTGACATTAAAAACGTATGACTATAATTTTAAACTATATGCGCACATAAACGTACCCATGATAGTAAACAAAGCAGCAATGACTAGTAAAATGATTGCGGCGGGGTAGATAGATATCCCCATTGCTTGTTGGATGAATACGGCTCCAGCGTAGAGGTCAGCTGAGATCTTGGTAAAAACGTAGAGCAGCAAAGCAATAACAGCAAGATAGACGCGAATGCGCTGTCCTCCAAAGCGGTGGCGTAGGTACTCGGGCATTGTTAAAATCTAAACCATGCAAATAACTAACTATGCTCTTACTCCTGAGGCCACATAAACGGGCAGGAAGAGCCAGCCTAGAAGTACCAGAGTAAAGGCAGCCTAAAGTGGTTAAATCAAATTTTATTCTTACATTAAATTCAAAAACAGACATAGCGATTCCCGTGGCTGCGCCAGAACCAGCAAGCCCAACAAAATGGCCAGACCCAATGTTGCTAGCAAACAACGATGCCCCAACCTAGTTAATAAAAATTCTAGAATAATACATCAACGTACTGGAATCCATGTCATTGATCGGCCAGCCAAAAAGTAGCCGCCTACAGAGCCACGATTTCTTAGAGATGACTAAAGAGTTGGTGAGTTCTAAAAAAATATGGGACTCCATACCCAAATACCAACTGCGAAAACGACAACGAAATAAGCGATAATTACGCCTAAGTCAGCACCATCTACGTAGCCGATAATTGGTTCCATGTTGCTGGATTTACATGAAGAGGGTGATAACAGATACTGGTCCTTTTATTGGCGCACAGACACATGGGGGGTGTGTTGTCGAGATTTAGAACATTTTTGAGCATTCAAACAACCCAAGGTTGTCGATTCTCGTAGCTTTTGCACACAAGACATATTTTTTAAAACATTCTATGACACGCAAATTATAATATAGTGCACTGATGTCTAGAACGTTACAAAAAGTTATGTATTCAATAATATTTTTTCAGATAAATTTCATATCAATTTTGAGAATTGGTGACCGCAGGTACTAATTCTAGATTTGATATTTTTTAAGTAAATGTTCTTAAAGGTAGAAACTACAAGTTTAAAACTTGTCAATTCTAAGAACAAACATTTTTGGTTTTGTAATTTGGAACACAGGCTTTTTTTTAATTTACATTTTTTTTTCACCTATTTACTTAGGACAGCGTTAAAATCAAACAGTTTTTTATGCAGTTATGTAAGTTTTGAGTACTTTTCCAAGACACATTTCTGTTAGAGTCAGAAACATGTGAAATGCCTTGAATCTGTGTACGCACCTACGATTTCTTTTCGTACTTTTCTTCAGTATAAGTAGCTTGTGCAAATTTCGCTCTAACATCGTCTTAAGGTATACAATTAGTGTCTTATTTATAAATTTAATCTCATTTCCCTTGTATTCGTATATATGTTACCCTGTGCTCATGCAAGAAAAAATCCCTTCCACAACGGTATCATGTATAAATTCAACTATTTAATAACCTTTTTTATCCACCTAGTTAAATGTTTGAGTTTGTCCCCAATGCGTGCACTATTCATTTAATTATTGTTGGCTCGCACATAAAACTCAAATTGATTTTACCAAACTTGCAGTTGGCAGTACAAGAAGGCTCTACCACTAATTTCCAAATTGCACATCTTCTTGCCCTTCCAATTGGAATTTCCGGGAAGTTAACGATCTCCTCAGGATTGCCTCAAGATCTCCGCTCCATTTTGGCTTGTTGGCATAACTTATGCATTTGCTAACATAATTCGACTGAGACTTAGGGAAAATTATAAAATACTTTATTTCAAAACTCACCTGATGGAGCTGTTTTACTTCCTAATGCTGTTCAACTTCAAACGGACGCAAATTCGCAAGTTTCAAATTTATACACTGACGTTGTAGATAGGAGCGTCGAAAATATTCTTGAAGTCGTTCATAGAATCAAAAGATGTATAAACAGAAAGTGTGAGCAATGCTTTAGTGCTCACGATCAAAAATACACGCCGGGATCTTCGAACGCGAATACGTTTTGTTTCAACTAATAGAATATTACGAAAATAAATGTTTTACATTAAACAGTCACAACAATTGCATCCTCTGAGCAAATTGCAAGTGGCACTTAGTGAGAACTAGAAGCACAAAATGCCGCAAGAAAACTCTGCACAGATTGAATTTCAGGGGACTTCGGATGGTACCTGGAGTTCATTAGGTTCGTTAAAATGTTGGCTCTGTGTATTTTTTGCTGATTTGTAGTACCAACCATTGGAGTTCTCCATAAATTTTGTAAATCCCGCCAGCATTCTTTTTTGAAACGGACAGTTAAAAGAAATCGAAACAGGAAGGCAGAGAAACTGATTTCATTTTTAAGTGTACAAAATTATTCATTATGACAGAATGCGTATTCCTTGATTGGATTTAACGCATCACTTCATAGTTCATCTGTTTGTGTTCAAAGTACTCTAAATCAAAATTAACGGGGATCGTATCCTAATTGGTCAAAATCATTTATGTTTTTTCCAGACATTCATTGGTCAGATTAACTATGGTCGTTCGAAAAATTTTGGAATCGCATTATTTTAGAACTGTTGCGGACACTTGGTTCGCTCACAATTTTAGCGGAATTCGATACGCTTGCTGAATTGGCCTCCACTGTCGTAGAACAACCAATCACCTCGCTATTAAGTAAGCCAATTAAAATTCAGAAAAATCAATAAGTGCACCGAACAACGATCACTACCACAAGCAGATATTCGTGGATTTGAAGCATAAGAATCGGTTATTCAAGTGACGCCCATCATAACATTTGCGGATTTTAAAGCCCTACAACTTTATTGCAACAATAAATCTATGTGACATTTCACATGAGGTGCAATATTCCCCGTGCTAAATTGTGTGTAGGATTGGTTTTGCCATAAAAACCCTTCATCAACAACAACAACAAAATACAAGTCTATTGGATTGACTATTAGTAGTACACTTCCATGAGTTTCATGAAGTTCAAAAAACAAACTCGACAAGTTGTTCGATTTTCAGATTGAAAACATGATAACAAGGTAACATATCTAAGTATTTCAGCCTTTTACATTGATTATGCGATAATTCGTAAACATTTCCTAAGTAACATCGATTAAAATGAAGATTTGGGTCCACCTGGCCGATAAATCAATGGCCAACCTATTTTTTCCGACATCAGCTTTTTTACGAAGTCGATTCCATTCTGCTAAGATTATGCAAACTAAGTTGGTTTATCGAGTGCTTTTCGGAGCTTTACAGTTAAATTACTCAGTGTTGCCGAAGAAACGTGAGGGAATCAGCCATTGCTAACGCATCAACTAGTTGTCTTCATTGGCCACGATTTTACTGATTCCTAAGCCGTGACGCAGATTCATTCATGAATGAATCATTTTCCAGCTACTCACCCTATTTATTCACACAATGGGAAGCGGGACTATTACTAAACACTGGAAAGAAATCCGCATATTGTGATTTCTACAAGCTAATTTTAAAGTAAATTATCACGCTCTTTGAATTCAACCCTGCAATGGGGTAATTTTCCACAAACCGAGTAGACACACCCATCCATGTCTTTGAAAGAAACACGTGAATATGGTAGTCGTGAAGAGGGAAAGCCAACCATCAAACGAAAACTGAGACTGTGGGAGTCAAAGGCTCGTGGAAATTCACGCACGTTTTTCGCAAGGTGCAGATGAAACAATGTACGGAAAAATTGGCATTTTTAAATCTGTCTTTTTTTCAATAAAACTAATTTATGTTGCCTAGTTAAATTCCGTTCTGTCGAATTTAAAAATACTGCTAAATTATTCGGGATTGGACAGTTCGCAACGATTGGTCGCTTTGAACAAGCCGCCAAGGAGTGCAATCAGCCAATGGCTGAGCACCATTCTCGGCGTGTCCAATAAAGTGACAAGATTCGCTTACATTAAATAAGCCAAAATATAGCTTACTGTTGGAGTACTTAACCTGGGTCTCATTCGCCACCCAATCCCGCAAGCACATCGATTTTTTCCATGATGCCTTTCCAATTCTAGACGTTGAAGGCAAGTGCAGAATTTAAATTCAACACAGTTTAGTTGCTACTGCTCATGTTTAAACAAAAATTAATAGGATTCGTCGATTTTTTGCGACACATCCCAAGTCTACTCTCTGCTGACTCACCTGTCTTCCCACTATTTGGCTGTCGCGCGGTATCATGTTCGTAAAATCGACGTCAGCATCTCATAGTGCCAAATGCTTCAGTATTTGTGACTGTACTCTTAATGCTAGCTGAAGTTTAGTTTTCGTAGTTTGTTCATTTTTCTGACGTGTGGCAGAAACTACCACGGTAGCCTTTTAACTATAACTATAACTAATTGGTGTTTGAATAAACTCGAGTCGAGTTGTGATTGTTTGGTCTCCACGGCTCGATCATTTGAGATCATTTGTTCATGCATTTATTGGCCAAATTTACCACATATAATTATTGTTCCTGTGGTTAATGGCTTTGCAGATTGGGATAAAAATTATCCCATATAGATTAAGACGTAGGTGTGAAAATTTTTTAAAAAAATCACGTTACCCTATTAGGAAGATGCGGCCTTAACCGCGTGATGACACCCATCTCATCCGAAATCTACGACATAAAGTATGCGTTAATTTAATCTTTTTTTCCCATGTGAACTAAAACCACCGTGAGTGCGTCGGCTGACAGCCATGAGTCGCTCGACGTCTGACTGGAAGCTTCAAAGAGGAACCGTTCGTGGAACATGGATGTGGACTCATACAACTATAGAACGAAAGACGTGCCCGTGGGTCTAGCAAATTCGAAATTGGCGCTTAACAAGCAAGACAGATCACTAAAACAACATGGTGGTAGCGTGGCATGTTGTAAAAATGCAATAACCGTTGCATTTCCCTTAAAATTTAGGGTGAACAGATGACATAGCAAACGAGAATCGTAGCTTGACAATTAAACACGTTACCCCTTTCGACAGCCTTGGGGATCAGTCCGTTCCAGGTTTTTGAAGAACCTGGATTTCATCGCTTGTTGCCGACTTTGAGAATTTTTGTTTTAATGAGCTGTAATGGGTGTAGCCGAAACCTACAGCCATGGTTTTATTGTTGTCATTATTTGACCGAATACATTCATATATGTCACAATAACAAAGTTCACAGCTCGATAGCGATGTCCATCCACGTGTGATACGGTACACGATGGTCTCGATTATAAAACTTGTTCCGTCGATTTTTCCTGGTTATTTTTTCCGATGTTCCAGCCAGCTCTAGAGAAAAACTGGCCCTAAGATCCCACCAAGTTTTAAATTGCAGCAAAGTCTTCCGTTCCCTTCTGTTTTAAACTGACCAATCAAAATTCCAACTCCTACTTCTGCTCCTCCATTTTGACACATTCTGTGTTCGTGAGCAATAGGTGACAAGAATCATCCCTGTCTCCTAACTTCGATTTTTGCTGAAGTGGAATTTCATCCAAGAGCCCTCTTCCAGATCATGCTCAATATCAGCAATCTTCGTGCAGGCTCAAGCAAATCCTTAAATCCTTCATAGTCAATCTCCAGTGTCTAATTTGCGCTCCATTAACCACCTTCCGAAGACAAAATATCCACTACTTTTGCAACCGTAATAGTGAACACACAGCCAATTTTCACCATGGAGATCCTGTAAAGATGTCCACGTTCTGAAACACCTCAGTCTCCTTTTAACTATGAAGACGACTCCGACTGTCGAAAAGAAGTCTTCTAGATGTCTCAGCAATCCCTTGAGGAGAATATCTTTTCCACAGTGAAAACCACTTGTAGTGAAAAGACAACTTTCAAGTTTAATGACCGAATACATTCATATAATTTTTGTGAGACTATGAACTAAGATTTGTGCCGACTTACATGTCTGTCTTTTTCATCAAAGGTCTTTCACCACAGTCAATTATCATAAGCATGATAGTGCCGTTTTGCTTTTTACCAATTTAACAAATCAGACATCGTTACGGAGAAATTCAGTAAGTGTTGTCATCAAAAAGTGCTTTTACCACGACTCTGAAAACCCACGCGTAGTTTCACATTCAATGTGCACTTTAATGTCAAAGAAATATTTTACTATTTGTGCAAATCAGCCAAATTAAGCGCACAACGTCTACGAAGGAACGGTGGCGTGTGGGTGTCACTGCACTGGCAATATCGATTATTTGATTTTCGCTCGCTCCAGTGACTTGGCAGCATCATCTGCGCCTTTGCCTCCAGAGCAATTTGAGATAAAGGCTTTTGTGTTGTGTAATCGCCTTTGATCTTAATGGCCCTCTGTCTTTCTCAACTTTCAAAGTAGTCGACCACTCCCTCTTTACTCATTGCCAAGCCCCCTCTGAGGTCGTTACGACGTCAGATAAACGACTGGCCTGAGCATCTGATGGCTTTCGACGTTGACGGATTTAAATCTACTAATCGATTGTTGTGAATGGTACCGGAGATGGGGTACTGCCTAGAGTTGAGTTATCCACAAAATTTTACAATCGGACTTGTACCCAATATCGATTAATGAATTGAGCCAGATGTACGGAGAACCGCACGTATCCTGTAGACCAATGAATCTGGGTGGTTGTGTCTCAAGGTCACAATAAGTGCCGATTAATTTGATTTAAATTACACTAAATCGATTGTTAAGTCACAACTCCCTCAAAAAGATGCGAAAGATTAGATTTTGATGGATGAATTAAGTCAATTTTGGTTTCGAAACCGACGTAAAAGTTTGAGGAAACCATAATACAGGCCTAAAATTGATTGCTTACAGACGTATTGATTATTCAAATCGAATGACCACTTCTGCACTTTAACGCACATACGCGCTTTGTTAAAATTCTCTGGGTGTCTCTAATTTGTTGGAGTTAAACGCAAACATTGCCTAACTCTAAGTACAAAGGGATTGGTGGTTTGTGTTGATTTCTAAAAAAAAACGTCAAACCAAATGGGCAGCTTGATGGCAACTTTACAGAAGTAAAGTCAAAATGGAGACTAAGATTTAGGGAAAGACTGCAGTTACCTTTCACCATCAAATACATCCATTAAGCGCACGTCCTGCAGCAAAATGAAGGATAGGTTTCACAATATTCCATCTCACCAAGCCGTTTCTTAAGAGGTGTTTTAACAGGTCTGAGCTAGTTTAAAATTGGCAGCATTTTGTCTGAGACCATGAAGCATTCATACATGTGAAAAAATCTGACATCTGGTGGCACGCTGGCCACCAAAATTCAATTATAACCGATTTTATGGGAACAATTCACATGCTATCAGTTGGGCTTTAGTTTAATTGCTTAAGACCTGATAATGCCAATTGTAAATTTGATTCCCCTATAAATCCTCAACTTTGTAATTTGGTAGAAGGCCCACTTAGGGTTTCGATAGGATTTAAAAGTAATGCACATGAAAAACAACAGATAAAGCCAGGATGTCAAGCGTGCAGCGAAGCATCCGCACTATCGATTATTTGATTTGTATTCCAGCCAATCAACGTGCGGCTCTCTGCATTGAAGTTAAACGCTTGTGCTCTGTCAAAACGTCTTTGATCTCTAAGGCAGTTTTTTCCCCGTAGTAGAAAAATACTTCCAAATTTTTTAAATAAATTTCAACTCTAGCGTTTTATGGCACACGGGATAAAATAGTCCCTTGACCAACAAATTAAAGCATTAACTAGTATTAAGTGATGAAATTATGTCTTCGTGTCAGTAAGATTTAGCTATGATTGTATGATTCTGTGGTTTCAGTGTCCAGCGAGATTCCAATTATTTGTCGTAGTTTGTTGTTTTACATCACAAATGACGAATCGCAAGGCTTTTTCGAAAGGTAGCTCAAAACAAGGACAAATTATAGGAAAAAAACCTGAGTGGAGTAAGCCAGCACAAGCGCCAACTCCGCATTCTTAATAACCTCTCTTTGGCGGAATTACGGACAGTGTTGTCATCGATCGTGGTTAATGGTAAACACTTCTAGGTCATGTGTGATGAAGAATGCAATTTCGGGTTGATGGTTAACATTGTTACCAAGGGGTATTCGAGGGTGTGCACGTAGACGCAGGAAATTGTGACTGGCTAGTCATGTGCATGGAGCTGTGGCGCTGTCTGATTGATGGATGTTGATCGTTCCTGAGGGGAAGATTGACGGTCTCCTATTGGTTAGACATCTGGGTTGCTACATCAAAACGTTAATTTAGGCCTAAGAGAGATATTACTTAAATTAAAGTGGCAACGCAGGCCCAACCTCAAGGACTATGAAGCAACATTGTAGACCTCGAAGTCGGATAAGAATGTTGAAAAGAAGTGACTCCGACTGTGTTCCTAGACGTTCATTTATGATTAGTGGAACTCCAATAAGGTGTTCATTAATTGATATGCGTTTCCGACACTGTTTAGTGGAAACATCTTGCCATGATATCTACATTAACAGAAGCAAGCATTACGTCTAAAGCATTGATATGATCTAAGAACCGAGCAGGTTTTAGTAAATTTTGTTGAAAAACTGATCAATGTCTGAGCCGTTCTCTTGAATACCTGCAATTAGACTACTCCAATTGCTGAAATGCAGACGTTAGTAAGGCGGGACGGGGGCGTCGGATTTCTGGCAAACAAATATGGAGGCCTCTGAAGGGCCCTAATAGCAGCTGTAACACCTCAAATGTGTTTCATCCGTCGTGGTTAGTTTTTCGATCCTACGCCTAAGTACATTGATAGGAGGCAGACGAGTGTGGGCTGTGTCAAGGTTAATCATGCCCCATAGCGAAAAATTTGGTTGGTCGATTTCATTGTTTGCGACTCACGAAGCACTTTTACTTTAAGTAAGAACTGAATTCCTTTTTACATTGCAAAACGGCGTTCAGCAAGATCTTATTACATCTGATATGCCAGCCACGGAGTCGATTACGCGACGCTGGTAATTTAAGCACCAGATGGCAAGAAACGGCACAAAAACCGGACTGAAAATTTGCTATTTTGAAGGTTTCTACAAAAAAACTCCAAGTGAGAATGGCGGTGATGCCATGAGGGCAGATGAATGATTGCATGCCCCACGTTACAAACGGTGAATTGGTAATGCCATATAGGATGGCATTCATCTAATTAATGTGACTGGGATGCTTTAATCGTGTGTCCTGGACAGTCTGGACATTGTCTAGAAGTTAAAGTAGAAATAATTATAAACCCAATAAAGTAGCTTATTATTAGTCGTCCTGAGACAGAAGAATCATGTAGTAATAAATTTGAGAATTGTTCAGATCTAGTAGATAGTCTTGCAGCGAAATGTGAAAGATATGCAGTTACAAGTTATGCGCATTTTGTTAGAATATGCCACAACCAAAAAACAAGATCATAATACCAATACATAACTCCCTTATCAAATGCAGTTTTTTGTCTAGGACGACAAATCTAAATCACGTAAAGTAAATTACACTGCTTGCTGATACTGCTACTTCTTACGATCCGGAAATCAAACAATAACAGCAGAAATGCGCAGAGCGTTTTCCAAAAGTCGAATAAATGCCAAAAAGATTAGACTCGCAAAAGCACGAATGTGAACACCTGAGCGTCAACAAAATTGTTTTGCTAATATAGGAGTTCAGTGGATGTTTTTGGAAGTGCAAATGTATTTGCAGGATCTGAGATAGATATGATTTGCCACTGACTGAAATCCAAGGTTCTGAGTAAAATGAGAGTTATACATTGCAAGATTGCTTTCGTGCCTTTATTTCATAGTTATAATTTTTAATCTGACGATGCAAATGCTTTCACTTTAAGCATGATTTAACTATAACACCCATGAATGTCACATCAGCTTTTCTTAGCTTTTAGACTGCGTTACTTGAAACGGTATGTTAAATGTTTAACTGGTATGACTGAAAATAACGTCAAATAAGAGGGAAGTACATTGATGAATTCAACCGTGCATTCTTCCAAGATTTCCTAATCTTATTGAGCTTATAATTAGACTATGGGAATGTAAAACAACCTAAGAATTTGATCATGCTTCGAGAATACCATCAATAGTTGATTTAGTTTGTCAAGTATAACTTGAAAAATGTGATCTGCTACCAGCGCGATTTATTGGTTTGGAAAGGGTTAGTTTACTAAAAAAACGCAAATGTTTATAACATTAATGGACAGCTCTAGTGCTAAGCTTAAATGCTTTTGATGACAAGCATTTATAACTCGCAAACTACTGGTGAAAGGGTCTAATATACGTTAACACGAAAAAGCAAATATGCGCAACCACATAACCGGTTGAATATCATCGTTTTTAATCTTTTGTTCCATTTCATCCAGGAAAATAATATTTTTTTAAACTCAGCACAAATTTTTTTTCCACGTGGACAAGGTACAAAGTCGTTTGAAGCTCCAACTCGAATTGTTTATAATAACAAATTAAGTAGTAAATTGCTAATCTGTAGGTCGCCGCGATAATTGTCTTGTGACAAATCATGTTATACTGTCCTGCGAATGAGTCCTTGTCACATCCGTGGACAGATGGCGGATTAAACAGATGTTTTGTGTGGACCGTTTCTTCTACGATTTCTGCTGCCTTAGCGGCGGTAGCTTTGTTAACTTACACAATCTACTTATGCCGAAATTCACGACGCGCTCAAACAAGGCCGATGTCATTCGGCTTTATCCTGCAGATCGTTCTCTCTGTTATAATGGTGATTCTTACTCTAGCCCAAGCATTCTTGTATATTTTTGCGAAAAACACTGGTGCTAATGCTTCCTTTGGATTTCTTCTGCTGTACGCAACCACCATGCCTGCGTCTTGGGGCATTATTTTATCCCTCATGGTTGTGGAGCGTTATCGCCTGTGTCCCAAGCTCTATAGCAGGGGTCACGGATTCCCGCTTTTGTTGTTTTGGACTGTCAGTTTTGTATTGATAAACCTTCCTTTATCGTCTCTCGGCAATCCCTCTTGGTGGTGGTCATTAGGAAGGTGAGTTTCTGGTTAACTGATGACGACTTCCCTAATTTTGCCATTTTTAGTGCTACAGACAAGACCGAGATGGGAGTCTGGATCTCACAGTACATCTGCGTCCTACTTCTATTCTTACTAGGATTTATGGCCCCCGGTGCGCCGAACTATGCCATGCTTTACGAACAGTTGTTGGACGATCCTCAATTAAACCAGACGTCTCGACCTGTTAGCCGTTGGCAGCGTTTTTGTCGCCGCGCAATTTTCCTGGCGCCATTCATCTGGCCAAAATCACGCATCCTCTTGCAATTAAACATTATCATCTGTGTCTCCATATTGTTTGTGGCTCGTGTTGTTAACCTCTACGTCCCTATATTTTACAAAAATATCAGTAGGTTGATTCATTATTGTCTTGTTTCGAGTTTTTTTAAAGTTGATGATTGAATGTGCCTTTTTAGTAAACAGTCTGACGCCAAACTCAACCGACACGCATAATGTGAGTCACGTTGTTCAACAGATGAGATCGGGAGATTTCAGTTACATTTACGTGACGTTAGTTGGTCCCAGTGGCTTGGTCTACCGTTGGGATCTGGTTCTCTACTACATCGGCATTCGGGCTGTCCAAGGCGTTGGTTCGCCGAGTTCTGGTTTGCTTGGAGCTCTACAATCTCAACTCTGGATATCCGTTGACCAGTACTCTTCTCGAACTCTCGGCGTATACTTGTTCAAGCATTTACACGGGTTAGCCAAATCATTCATTCATTCAATGAGATTTTATGATGTCCTTTGACAACCGACACCCCAGGTTCTCTGTTCTATGGCATTTCTTCAAACGCCATGAATGAAGAACGTGTCTTAGCGGTGCACGTGACTAAAATATGCTCTTTTATCCTACTTGTCATTCTGGTAACCACTGAGTCTGTGTTTGCATGCAGTGATAAAATGACGTTTAGAGCACCAAGCTAGGCACTTATATGAGGCTTTTACAAGTTCGTTATTTGGGTATCAACTTGTTTCTTAGGCAATCCATGAATTGGCATCTCTCACGAAAGACGGGTGCAATGCTTCGAATCGTCGACCGTGGCACATCGAGTGTTTCCAGTGTGATTGGCTATCTCTTCTTCAACATTTTGCCAACCATCGTCGACATTATCATTGGCATTGTCTACTTCATTGCTTCTTTCAATTTTTGGTATGGTCTGATCGTGTTCGTCACGATGCTCTGCTACCTTGGTTAGTGCCTCGCCTTTACCTTTTCTCTTTTTCATGCCTACCGTGTTTGAACGCCTTATTTTGTTACACAATGTCTGTGGGCTGAAATGGTGGCTATTCGTTTGCAGTTATGTGTAATTTATTGCAGCGTTTGGTCAATGCGGTGGTATTAAACGTCTACAATTCCAGCACACTCATAACAAGCGTTCACACGAGCGTAGGAGAATGCAAATCGCTCATGTCTTTCCAACTATTTGACTTTTCGAATCACTCTGGCCATACACGACAGACTAACTGCCTTTTAAACCCAGTTACGACAATCATTATCACCGAATGGCGTAACAAGTTGAGACGAGTTATGAACGATTTGGACAATGCCAAGAATGCAGTCGCGGTTGACTCCTTGATGAACTTCGAGACGGTGAGTTCTGGGGTTAGCTAATTCATTTATCCACACTCTCCTGCCTCATTTGGTCTAAATTTGGCTTGGTGTGTGTGTGCTATCTGCATTTCTTCTTCTTCGTCGTCTTCGATAACCCCTCTTTACCCGATAACGCGATCACTTGTGGCGTCTTCAGCCTCTGACCTTCGAAGCACTTGTTGTGTCCGTCCAGGTGAAGTACTACAACGCGGAGCAGTTTGAGGTGGACCGCTACAACACGGCCATAGTCGCGTACCAGAAGGCCAATTGGGTCAACCTCACCTCGCTGTCCTTCCTCAACATCACCCAGTCGCTCATCATCACGCTGGGTCTGCTGGTGGGCACGCTGCTGTGCGCTCGCGACGTCGTGATTGGCGCCCTGACGGTGGGCGACTTTGTTCTCTTCTGCACGTACATCCTCCAGCTCTACATGCCCCTCAACTTCTTCGGCACGTACTATCGGTGAGTCGGTGGGGGCTGTGCGAGGCGTGGCGGCGGCGGCGGTGGTGGTGGTCGGCGTTTAACACCCAACCAGACATGTCCGCGCACGCTCGCACACAGTAACGAATGCCTTGAGTCATCCAGCAGGTAGTTGTGTTTTCGTCGTCCGCGCGCGACACGGCTACATCTGTTGTGGGCCCTGAAGCACGCCGGGCCACAGAATTAACTCTGGCCCGATTACGCTTGCCTGATACCCGCGATGAGGAAGAAGATCGGGGAGGACGTGGACACAACCGTTTACTTCAGAGCTCAACCACGTTGGTGTCGTGTGTGGGGTTTGCGCGTGTGTATTTATACCTCGGATGTGTGAGTCATAAATGCGCTAACATGGAGACCTAGGCATGAGGATAATCCAAGGTAAATGTCCGTGTGAATGAGGGAGGAGTTGAGGATCCGCGCGGCTGGCGACATGCTGCGAGAAGGGGGACCCTGTGTCGGAGGCTGGAGCTACCGGATTAAGGGGTGTGAATAAACACGAGTCACAACACATCTCCATACGGATTTGGTAGTGCTTCAACAGCAGGTGCAGTAAATTGTTCTCTCGTCGGACTCTCAGGTTTTCCACACTGGAGGGAAAGGTAGTTGCATCTAATTGATCACCCAATTCCCACATGCACATAGCCTTAATTAACAACGTCTCATGGGTAATCCCCATTCTCGTCTTCACCTATGTAAACATAAATTAGGCGCATGACTTAAGGCTGACAGACTTCTTTTCATTCTTTGAATTGTATTTAAAAATAGAACTATTTTCGTGGTCTTTTGTGGCTTTGAAAAGATCGCACGCAGGGTTCCATTTAATCGAACGAAAAGCCTACGTGAGTTACACAATTTTGCAGGATAGCAGAATTTACTCCGATGGTAACTGACAAACAGCGTATTCGATGGCGCTGCATTTTGTAAGAATTCCAACAAGGAAGAAACGCTGCTTCTAAAGCACGGAGGGAATCAATTTGTAGTGTTCTTGGTGCTGCCGAAGTTGTGTCTCGTAAAACGTGTGACTGCTGGTACCAAAGTTGCAGCAGTGGTGATTTCGACCTTAGCGTCCAGCCGCGCTCCGAACATCAGCCACAAAAAGTTAAAAGTTGCGTATTTATGCACGTTCTACAGGATGAACACTCAACGCAGACGCAACGAGAGCTTGCAACAGCCCAGTTAGGAGTCATTCAAACAAATGTGAAAAATTAAAAACTTAGAAATCAGGTCCTCCGATTTATGTTGAACGAACACAATCTGGTTGAACGTATGAACACATAGCTTTCACGGCATGCCCGCCAGCAACAGAAAGTGAACGAACTTCTTGTGGGAAAATGAGACACGTGATTAAAAGTATGTTGATTACGAGAATCCCAAATGCAAAACGTAGGATCGTGTGCAGACCCCGGACAACCAGGTAGTACTTCGTCGCCAAAGCAGGACATCCGCTTGAAGAAGGTTCTCCTGTGTGGCTGGCGGATGGACATAAAGAGTGTACTTCATTACGACCTCCTGGA